ATTGTCTTGACCAGGACCACATCCCTAAATGCATTGAAGCAACTGGGCATTTTGGTAACTCCAATCAGCCCCAGCATGTTTTTGGACTGTGGTGGAGGGGAACCAGAGGATGACACTCCACACACGCGGAACCCTGGCAGGGGTTCAAACCCTGGTCCCAGAGGTGTGAGTTGATAGTGCCAACCATCGCACCACTATGCTGCCAGTGCAATGTAAATATACAATATAGTGCAATGTAGTGCAAATATTGCATTGCAAAGGAGTTGCAGTTATATAAAGAAGCTGCAGTTGATCGTAAATTCAACAGTCCAGTTACTGACTCATACTAGGAAACCCACCCAAATCACTTCTATTCTTCAACAACTACACCAGCTTCCAATCAGAGATGGGTAATTTAGTCCCAGAGAGAAAAAGTTCAACCAACCAATTGAGTATGAAGAGTACTTAACTGGTTGGTTGAAACAAAATCGTGGTCTGGACTTTTACTCTCCGGACCTGAATTACCCACCTCTGTTTCCCATAACTGTCCCCTTGCAATTCAAACTCCGCCTTCTTGTGGTTGTCACCACGCCCCTTCTTACCTCCTAGACCATCTTCATCCTTATGCACCTGTCCATCTGCTGCTGGTCTTCTTTCTGTGGGAGCTCATCTTTTAGAACCAGAGCCCCAAACTTTGGAATGGTCCATGTCGGCAATGTCACCATTTTACTGGCCTTACTGTATATATTTCAGAGCCAAGCTGAAAAAAGTATTACCTCAGCCAATGACATCATACCGGTTTTAATGACTAAAAATACCCTTACATGCTTTCTCACATCTGCATAATTTCTTGCTATTTTACCCCACTCTCTGTACAGTTCTACAGACATTTTAGCTTCTTGCCATTATACCCAAATGTACAGTGTTGCTTAACTTTTTCTGCATGTTCTGTGTATTTCACAATTCCTTGGTTCCAAGTTTTTATTCTTCGCAGCTATACACATCACCCAGTCTTTAAAGAAATCTTCCGTAAAGTGGCCTAGAGCTTTAGAAAGGTGCTATTTAAATAGAACTTATTGTTATTGTCACATTTCTGCTCTTCACAACACTGGACAGATACTGTCGTTTGAGCTTTGGAGTTTCAGGAATAGCCATGCACATCAGCTGAGATGCACATTCCCGTCTCCATTGGTGCGGAAAACTTGTGGCATGTAGTGGATTGTTACATGGAGAATTTGTTTAAAATCAAACGTTTCATGCTAACATGCAGCAAGGCCATTACAATTCATCATGCGAGTGAGTACTTGTGTGGACAGTGTGCACACTTGCTGTTTCTGAGCACAGGAAATCCCCCTGTTTATGATCACAAAAAAATGTTTCTCATACCTTGTGGTGTGGGTGCTGTAGTGTCTGCAGATTTAACATGAGACAGAATAGTAATGTCATGTGATTGCATTATAACAAATTATAAATCCATATTTTGCACTTACTAACAGTTAAAAGATAATGTATCCTTTGAGAAATGTGCCCTATAGCAAACAGAATTTTCCCTGGGAATCAATAAAATTTATCTTATCTTAGAAAGGAAAAATTAAGTTACCTTAATGTGATTTGACTCATTTGTGCACCCCAAGCAATATAAAACCTCCTTTCAATGTAATTACACATAATCTATCCTTGTACAAAGACAATAATCTTTTTATGTAATGAATGATATACTGTAATTGTAATAAAGTACATTTGTTAGTGTGTTAATGAACAAATTATCTTTCTTTCATGTTTGTTATAATCTAAAATGTCTTTTAAAATCTCCCAAAAGAATTCGAAAATATAAACTGTCAAGTCATCGTCAAAAGTCATCGGTGAGCTCAGTCAGGCCTCCATCAAGAGTTCGTGCAGCGACACCTAAGACTGAAGCACCACTACACCCCAGCATGTGATGCTGCCCTCTAGTGGAACTTGTAGGAAGAAAAAGACACCAGGACTAAGAAACGCAGAATAGCAAGAATCATTTATTTTGATTTTATTACCTCCTTTCCAAGTGATCATGGTGACAACAGAGAATATATCTGCAGTGGCAAACATTTGATCTTGTCTGCTGAAAATTTCTATTAAACAGAAATGAAGTAATGGCATTTATGGTGATATTGATCGTCTTCCATTTCTTACAATCAGCTCCTATTATCATGGATCTCTCCCTTTATGCTCTGATTTTTTTCCGTTTTATGATGTGTGCCCCCTCCTCACCCTCTTCCATCCCACCTTGCTACATGTAAAAGCTGCTTTAAGAAAGAAAATTATACGATTCTAACAACATAAAACTGTCATACTCGTCACGATTGTCTACAGATCTTTTGGAAAGGACGCAAATGCAGGGTAACTGTAAATAGTCATCACTGATCTGGTTAACTGCAGAACGCGCTGATTGAGGAGCGTACAGGTTGGGTTCAGCAGCCGGTCACATACTGCCGGCTGCATAATCCGCCAGCTGCATTTAGGGCCGACAGAACTACTCGGAATGTCCGCCCAACTGCAGCGATGCTTTTGGGTTTCCAGGCAACCGACAGGCATTTTTTTGTTTAAAAAAAATAAAATTAAAAAATCTTACATCAGGAACAAACTGGTGCCAGTATTGGCAGGTCGACTCCAGATGAACAAATACAAACACATAGATGGGAAGGGAGGGAGGGGGGGTGTTCGGTAAGCACTGAAGCGTAGACATTTATAACCACAGTGAGTGAGTATATATTTTACAGTTACACTGAATTGTCGTAACAGAAAGACATTATCTCCACCGCCGTTACCAAACAAAATGTTCAGTTTCAAGTTTTTTTTTAATCTTTTTCTCCATTTTTTTTTACTTCCTAATCGGCATGCATGCAGTTGGAGTCCACAGAAGCACCATTATATTATAGAATATAGCACCACTTTTTTGAAATGTATTTTTCCTTTTTTTTTGTTGTTTGGACCCAACTGTTGACATGCAAAAAACCTTGGGATTTCTCATATACGTATCCTACACGTTGCAACCTTTTACAAACACTACAAGGCAATTAATGAATATTCATACAGTACCATACATGTAGAACATTAACTAATACAGTACACGTTAAAGAAAGTGCTAGAATATAGAACAATTGCTTTCTTGTTTTGAGTCTTATAATATAATATAGGACTATAGGAGGACAAGCTAATGTTGTACACAATCGTTTACCCCAAGATACACTAAAACACTGTGTTTCACCGTTTTTAAATCTTTATCAAACATTTATAATTCTAAATTCCCACTGTTGCAGAAATGCATGATAAACACAAAATCAAAATAATAGTGATAATAATAGTAATAATAATACTAATAATAAATAAAGGCCAACAAAGCTTTTTTAATATCCATACCTGCACAGCACGTCACGTACACGACTCCGTTATATATCTAAAGAGGCGAATTGTGGTCTGTGTCGGTTATGTTTGTTGTTAGCCGCGGACTGTGTATCTCAGACACCGGATATCTTTCAGGATAACTTATTTGGTTTTTTGCTACGATGTTCTGCTGTAAGCATATCTCAGTGTCATCTCATTTGCCCCTTACACTGGTAACGCAAAGGTAATACATTTAACTGCTCCTTAACAAAAACAGTGTAATAAAACCATTGTTAAGGCTTAAAGGATGGAGACATTTTCTTTGAGTGTAACAGTCCATGTGATGTTGAGATTTTCGAGACGAATATGAGCAGCTAAACCGTTAATCTCCACGGTTCGCGAAGTCATTCCCTTTAAATGAAATATGAAAAGAAATATGGTCATGCAACACGTGTCGAAGTTCACAAGAAATCATGGATTCTTTTCTGCGTCCCGGTGCCTATTTATGCGACAACAATGCTGGACTCTTACAAATCACTCATCTTTCAACTTGATTGTATCATAATTTGATTACTGACATTCCCGGAAAGAAATTCAGTAGCTACATTATTAAGAAATCATTGTAAATAATGATTTCCAGTAAAATAAATATACACATTATATTTTTTAAATTAATTTTAGTGAAAATTTTTACGGAGTCAACAGCACTCTCGTTCATAAAAAGTCTAACCAAAGAATATCCATCAACCGATCCACCCTCGACAAGCACGGACAGAAATTAGAACAGACAAACTTCAAAAAGCATACAATACAAAACAGTGATATTACACTTTTGGGTTATAAATAAAGCTCAATATAATATATTTCAATCAATAAATTCTTTATGCGAACAAGATTAAAAGTTCTATCTTCAGGTAAGATTAGATTTGTTTTGATAAATATTTATGGTTTGATGGGGAAATTGAAAACCCCATGTGCACATAAAATTTAAAGTGCTTTTCTGTATATTATACGTTGGTACTGATCTGCTGGGGTAACCCGGTGCGATGGTCGCAAGAGCATTTCGAGACAGAATTCAAAGAGCCGAGTCCAGCTCTTTTTTTATTCTAAATGACGGTGCGTGGTCACTAGCTCAAAGCCACAACATTACATCAACGTAGATTGTGCTGCAAACTAATTCATTTAGCGCTCTGTGTCAAACCGCTGCAGCCTTGAAATCCTAAAAGGTGAGCGCCTAGCGCCAGTTCAGCGGCGAAACGTAATTAAAAATAATTACACACGGACTTCGAAACGCAACACAACAGTGGGTGTCAATGGATGGTCAGGCGCTCCGAGCATACAGACCAACGAGGCTGATACGAGGAACCACGTTCACAGGAGAAACCGCCTCTTTTTTTGGTTGCTCTGGTTACTAGAAGCCAGGAATGGCGGCTGTTGATATATCACTAGTGTAAAAATACAGGTATATCTTTTATATCTAATCGGACAGAGCCCACAAACACTCCTCCGGGAGAGTGGATCTGCTCCTCTTAAGGTCCTAGCACTGGAGAGGAGCGGTTCAGTAAACACTGCAGCGAAAGGTGAAACGGAGACACAGTACACCCCTTCGGAAAAAGTAGGGGTCACCTTCTTCTGGGCTGTAATTACTGAAGTTTGTGCCCACGGTGCCCTAAGGTCAGGTTAGCGAGGCTTGGGCTTGTACAAGCAAGGATTGTCTCTTTCATCCCATAAGCAGAGGAAACTGACAGACGAGTTCGGGTCCCTCCTCCAAGCCGGTCACAAGAGAGGCAGAGGAGGAAGAAAGTGCCCTTTGTTTTAAAGTGCTCCTTCTGGGATGGGATGCTTGCCTGTCGCCCCAAATGCTGGACGTCTGATCTGAGCACATTGTTTTTAAGGCAGAGCTGTAGTCCCCTGTATCTCCCACGCATTCCAATCTTACCGAACCCAAACATGACATGGGTAACAAGGTAACAAAATATCAACGGGCCAAAATAAATAAATAAATAACTAAAATTTCCAAACCATAGCTAGAATACATTAAGTATGGTAAAGTACCTTACCATTGACACTAGATTTCAGATTTCTTCTTAGGTCACAAAGTCATACAACAAATTTTTTTTGCTAGTTTTTTTTTATCCAAAAAAAACCCCCACCAATTTTGGACATTTCAAAACACTGATATTTCATTGCACTCATACCAAAAATAACCAAAAAAAATAATAAAAATCCAAGAACATCTATCGTTTCAGGCTAAGCTACACATTTAGGTACATTTCATGACTATTGTGCTCTTCAGGTCCTAATGTTGCACTTAATCATCTCAAAGCCTTAGATGTTTCATCAGGAGAAAAGGGTTCGAATAGTTATTTGGGCAATTCCCTTAATGAATGAATCAATCAATTTATCAATTAACTACCCACTGGTTTTAGGAATGTCTATCAAAGGACATACAGGTACGTGGACTTATACATCCGACTCATTCTTGTGCTTTTCAAATATTAAACCACCCATTCTTAGTTAGCAAGATGGCTAACTAGATTTAACAATATAATTACCACTTTGATATTTACACAGTAACCAACGTTTTTTAAGGTTTCACGTCACTATCAGCTCTCTAAGCATCCCTCTGTAAACGATAGACAACCAAACAGAGAAAAAAACACTCAAAACTGTCGTGTTTTAACAGCGACAGCATAACAACTCTGTGACAAAAAAGGAGACTTGCTGCTACACGTGCAGCATGTTGGATATGCCAGTTCCTCGCAGGAAATAACAACGTGTTTTATATAGGCCTAGCAGAGAAAACAGGTTTGCAGTTAATATACTGCAATTAAGCAGCTGGAGCCCCCCCCCCAACACCACCAAGGGGAAAAAAAAACCTAGTTTTTTTTTGTCAGTTGTCATTAAAATATAGGGTGATGCTGATACTTAGTAAAATATGTTTTGCCTTTTTTCACATTACACTGGTAAGGCAAATAGGAGAACTGGTATTTTCTGAAGTTCTACACACAAAATGTTGAGATACAATGCAGCAAAGCCCTTCATTGCACTACGTAACTTCTCCCTGTTACATAGTACGTGGTCAAGTGCAACTGGAGAGAAGAATCCCGTACTGGGAGTAGATTTTTTTTTATTTTTCATTGGCATGTCTGCGTAAATAAAGCAAAAACACTTAACACACTTTGCTTGCTGTTCTGCAGTGTCGTCTTTTTCGAATGGAGTTCAATCTGAAGTAGAGCTCAGCTATATTCAGGACGTTTCCTACTGTTTCCCATCTCCCTGTTAATAAACAGAAGCCTCTTAAACCAGAAAATGAAACTGGTACGTCAAGCACGGTTTTTCATTTGCCAAGCTCAAACGATGGGGGAAAAAGTAGAAAAGAATTTACCACAGACTGTTTCAAGTTTCTGTCTCTGACAGCCGCTAACATTGTTCTCAAGGCAGAGAACAGCTTCATTGTTTATTGTAAACTAACATACTCTGTTTGCTATCACTTAGATTATCTTTAAAATGTTTCTAAACGGTAACATATTTAAAAATGTTGCTTTTCACTGGGTCAAAAAAATAAAATATAAACACACTAAAGCATGTCAGTAAATAAACAAATGTCTTGATAATGTGTGTGCTTATGATGTGTTTTGGGGGTCTATTCAAACATAATATTCCATTCATTCAGAATTAAAAGACATGCACAATTTCTGCTAGATATAGGCAGAGAAAAAAAACTGTGTGTGTACTTTCACCAACTACACAAGCAACAGAAAGATATTGCACCTAGAAGCTATCATAAAGCGTTTCTGTTATACAGACAAAATACAGAAAATCACAGCACATGTCAGTCATAAGGGGGCAAGTCAATACACTCCATTTTTGGCAGTTATCAAGTGTTATAGTTATTGTTTGGGATTGCACAGGAGTCTGTATACTGCATTAAAACAACCCAAAGATCTGATGGGGTTCATAGAAGCACCTTGTTTGTGAACTGATCGTTCAGTGCTGGTCCTCTGGTTACACTATTCAGCTTTACCTGGGGGGTGGGGGGTGGGGTGGAAGGGGAGTTAATCTGGCCACCTTATCAGAGGCACTAGAAATAATAGATAACCACGTGCTCATTTACACCCCCAAAATGGACTGGCCGAAGTTTACTTCTCATCTCTGTTTCGTAGCACCATGGATTTATGCTCTAACTGTCAATGTCCCAAACACACAGAGCTGACTGATACAAGCGAAATCAACATCAAATACACGAAACAGCTGTGAACCAGCAGGTATTGGCGGCCTGATATTCTACGCTCTCGTTCACCTTCGGGTCTGTGCGTCTTCTTACAAAACCAAATGTTTTTAAAATACAAACAAGAAAGAAAAAAAAGTGAAGCAGCCACATGATAACTTGGGTGTTTCAAGTAACTGATTTAGATTTCAAGTAGGATTTGGACCGAGAATGGCTTTAAGGTAAATGAAAACAAGCAGTGTGCTCAACAAATCTACAAAATCAGAAAGGCTGATGCTCAAATACAGCAACATCTCCCTGATATCTACAGAACGAGAGAGGGGGTAACATTTGCACATTCGTTAGTGTAGATTTTTATTTCCCAGAGACTAAGAACTATAAATGACACACCATTAACAGATTTTGATTTTTTTTTGCTTGCAGTAAATATTATATGACCTTTGTTGATATGTAACTATAAACTGAGAAACAAATGACCATGTTTCATTTTTGATATGGATGTCCCTACAGGGCAGCAGGACAGCTTAGGGCCCTAATGAGCACAGGAGGCGTGATGGCCAACTCGGTATGAGCAAAACTCCATAAAGTGCACAGATTGATGGACCAGATTAGAATGTAAAATCCGCAAGGATATTAAAATGTGTAATTAATATTCAAAACCTCTTTTCATAACTGCGAGGTAAACAGACCTACACTGAAACCTGTATACGCATATACGTGAAATAGCAAAGCAAAACACACACACACACACACACATACACATACACACACACACACAAGCATTGGAACACAGATAGACAGACAGATACACACACGCACACACAGACTTAAAAGCTTAAATATTTAACTCATTATTTAAACTGCGATGCAATGGTTAGGATAGCGTATGACATATCATTTTCACTGTGCAAAAGTGAACTAGCTATTCTTTTGCCTCACCCCCTTCAGCTTGACGGCATAAACGTATTATGAATGAAACATAACAATTAAATTTAAAAGTGCTAGTTGACTAGTCGTACAGTACAATATTTTAGAGGTACATCTTCAAGAGGATTGTTTTTTTTTTTAACAAACTATGTTACCATTTCTGTCTGAAGCTCATGGTCAGGCTGATCTGTCTACCGTGTAAGGCATCGTCAATCCTCTTGGTCTTCGCTGTCAGCCCGGGGATCTGTCCTCTTCTCCTTGTGGCAGGTGAAGATCCGGCGCATCTCCTCCTCGTACCTGATGAAGTTGTCCCCAAACCTGGCCCAGGCCTTGAGGGGCACAGTGATGGTGTTCCTGTACGGCTGCCGCACCTCGCTGATCTTCAGGAAGACGCCGTACCTGTTGGAGCCCACGTCGAAGTAGAACCTCTTGTTGTCCACCCGGAAGGACACGGCCTCGGGCAGCTCTGGGGACTCGTCGTGGTTCCGAGTGGGCCGGCCCCGCTCGTCGGCGTCCTCGTCCCCGTAGTCCTCGATCAGCTGCGACAGGGCGTCTCGAAACTCGATGAGCCCTTGTGCGGGCAGCACGATGGTCTGTTCAATGCCCTGGCCGTAGTAGCCCATGGTGCCGTGTCCCCTGCTGACAGTCTGCCTGATCCGGAGGAAGCGGCCGCGCTGGTTCTCCTTTAGGTCCAGATAGTATTTTCTGTTGTCCCGCTCGATGAACTCGCTCTTGAGCACCCGGTGGGCGTGCTCCTCCGATGCGCCGGAGCCGGTCGGGGAGAGCGGCGCGCCGTGCGGATGGTGCTCCGGCTGCCTCCGGCGCGCATCGTGTGGCCGGCCGCTCTGCCCGTTGCTCTGCTCCTCCGGCCGCGCCATCTGGGTGCTGCGCAGGCCGATGTGGGCGTAATAATCGATGAAGTCGCCCAGGCAGTACCTCAGGTCCGGGGCCATGGACATGGAAAGCGTCAGCTTGCTCTTCCTAATGTTGTCGTGCCGGCCTCTGCCGATCCACACCTCGGCGATCTTCAGGAAGCGGCCCCGAGCGCTCTGCTTCACGTCCAGGTAGAAACGCTTCTTCTGGATGTCTACGCGCTTCGAGGCCAGCTCCTGGATCTCTATGCCCTGCACGCCGGGGTGAAGGTACTGCTGAGGATACACGCCCCGGGGAGCCGAGTCCGGCGCCATCCTCCCCCTGTTCCTCTCCATCCCTCTGCTGTTGCTATCAGCCATTGATTCAATTTCTCCCGCAAATCAGCAGCAGCAGTAGCAGCAGCGCGACCGCTCGCCTCTCCATTACCGGCGATGCGCCGACTATTACTAAACCATTTAGTCACAATCCCCGGAATGCCTGGACCGACTCGGAGGGGAAACCCGCAACCCTAGTTGTCATCAGTTTTTACGGCCTTTTCCTTGTCCTATTATAAAGGTCAGGCGACACGCTGCATGTCACAGATGACTGCCTCGATCAGCCTCTCCTCTTCTCTTCTCTCCCCGTCACTCACTCCTCCCGGTCTGCTTGACAGCTAAGCCAGGCTGCCAGCCGACAGGCTGCCGAAACGCGAGAGGGAATCACCCAATCCCCGGTGTCCTTAGAGGGCGCTGCTCTTACAATTCGCCGGCCTTAGTGCTCTAATCAGAGAAAAAATATGCAATATTTGCTGTTTCACGGTTATTTTGGAAAATTAATCGTCGGGGCAGCAAGTGCGCGATAGACGCATCGCCGGCCACATGTCAGGTTGCACCTTCGGTCAAGGCTACGGCGGCGGTAGCTAGTTTAGCGGGGACGCGCGCCATGACGTAGTTTACGCGCGACAAAGAGGGAGGAAGTTCCCATATGGCAGGACTGGGTCGTGCCTGGCCATTTAGTTGTTCTTGTAAAGTAAAAGGCATCTTTCGAATGACAGAATCTCAGCTACGCAGTAAAATAGCTAGAGATGTAGCCCATGAATAAAAAACGAGATATTTACTGTAACGTTTGTGGCAAAGTTGCGAATGAAAGTAAATGATTGTCGTAGTCCCGCAGAGGAGTTAGCGAAACCTTGCAAACAAGAAGTTAGTGAAGTTAGTCACTACTACAAGTTGGTAGATAATTGAAGCTTCTTGTTATTTATGTTGCAAGTTTTTTTTTGTGTGTGCATATTTTAGTAGATGGAAAGCTTTTGATGTGCTTGGACATATTGCACATATTAAATAATATGTTCAGGATAGGGTATTTCCTGTTGTTATGACCTTAAACGTTGTCCTTCCTTATTTAAGGTTTTATTAATCCATGGCGGACAGGGTACTACCACAGTGGATGTCAAAGGGAGGAAACCATGGCAACAGCGGGCAAAAGCAGGTAAAAGCGCTCACGTGTAACGTACTAATTAGCTAACATCTAATAATTGTTTTATAATCGGTGTTGGTCATTTCAGGTTGATCATAAACAGTCACAGTCACAGCTAGAGTACTCAGCTGTTTGGTAGAAACAATATTGGTCTGGATTTGTAGCTTTTGGACCTGAAATGACCAACACTGTTTATAATTACTGTAGTTTAATCAGGTCAATGCAATTTATTATTTTGGGGCCCATTTTTTTGTTGGTAGATCTTCCATCTTAATATTCATTTATTTGAAAATGAATGAAAACAAAACTTACCATTGCTTTCATTATGATTAAATCATTATGCATAACTCTATACTGCATGTATGTCTGAGAATCAATGGTGTCTAATCTAATCTTATTGTAATGATGTTACTTAAGGCTTAATATTTTATTCTGAATTCTAGACTCAAAAAAGTTTGTACAAAAAAAACATCTTGGAGGACAGTCTGCAGTATCTGGAATTCAGTGGTACAGTTGTCTACAGCCGTGAGAAAAACGATTGCTCCTTTTTGTCTGAGGATTTAAGGTAATATGCTGTGTGGTCTTTGTATCAAATGCCAGTCAAGCATTCAATTAACATTAAAAGTGTCTGGTTTATTTTTATATGTTTACCACCAGTGTTTTTTTTTTTTAAACCAATGCACATTTTAATGATTCACGGTAATTCTTCAGAGTATTTGCTACATCAATATGCTATATATATATCCTGTACACATACAATATACATTTTATAAAATCTGCATGACACGGCTATGCTACTCTGTGTCCTCTAAGTTTTTGTTGCACCAACATCTTGGGAACAAAGTCATCTGGGTGGATTGTATGGAAGGAGTAGATGTTTAATCTTCTCTGGAAATTTTTGACCTTGAATGAAAAGTAGCAGTATTTTATACTCGGCACTAAATTTGTGGGCTAGCCTGTGTAGGGAGGTTCTTACGGGTCTGAAACGTCCATGCATTTCACATGCGGTTAGAACTCTAGCTGCATTACATCTGATTCACTTCAGAGACAAATTTTTGCAGCCAGAGTGCAGAGCCATAGAATAATCCTGCTTCTGGTTATTGAATGCAGGGGTGAGCTTTTCTGAATCACTCATGGGCAGTGGTTTGTGACTTTGTTTTCCATAGGTGAAAGGCAGAAATGTATCTGTCGGGTATTTCTCACATAGGAGCTAACTGTTAGGTTAGCTGCAATGCCAATGCCTGAAGATTGCCAATGGTCTGGTTTATCTGGTGTTTCTGAAAATAAGTCCCTGCCTCTTTGCATCTGGTGTTATCCGTGTTTATCTTTGGACCTATGTAACTGAGCGAGTAGCAGGCAGCTTCCCCACAGTGGACATTAGAAATGTGCATTGTGCCTTTGCCATTGTGAGGAGACATCATAATTAATAAAGTAGTAAAATTCAGTCGGTTCAGGCAAGTGTGCCCAAGTAAAAGTTTTTGTTTCATTTGAGCACTTGAATTTTCCTAGCGAGGAAGCTTGTACCTACCCAGTGAAGGAAAACTGAAGCTCTGACTCAGACTTGGCTGAAATTATTTATACTGGTTTAATATTAATATTCATATTTGGCCAGTATTATTCATTTAAGTAGAAAAATATAATTGATGCAATTCTTGTACAATACTCTTGGCTTGGCCTAGGCGTCCCACTGGGTACGTGAAGGACCTTCAGTATTTTGAAATTTAGAAATGCCCGAACTAGACTCGTGTCCAACTTGTTAATAAATTTAACAGAAGGCATATTTATATTTTCCATCATTACCTTATTAAAATGACATGGGAAAGAATGGCATTTATTTCAATAATGCTACAGCATTATTAAAATTTAATTATTAAAATATTTTTTGTAATATTTTTCATTTTAAGTATTTTCTTTTAATTCTGTTTTTGTTTTATTTAATGTAAAAAAAATCTTCAATTTTGCTACATTTCGCGTAAAACAGTACTTTATAGAATTGTTGTTATAAATGTTAATGTTAAATATGAATAGTGAACACAAAAAATTACATCCTTACTTGCCACAGTTAAGTCGTTTCATTTCAGCACCACATATATATAAACACACAGGCACACACATAGTAGCTGGATTCTTTTGGAAATTCACAAACATAACATGTTCATATAACTTCAAGGTGGCAGCAAAAAATAGTTTGTTCTTTGTTTAAGTGTGTAAAAGTTTACCCTAATGAATGATTACTACATTCATTGATGATGCGCGCCTTCACCATGCACACCATGGCTAATGTCATTAATGAATATTTTATGCATTAGCACTGATTGACTGACCAGACCTCAGGGGCTCGCTGTAGGTGGTCTTTGCGTCATTCTAATTTGGCTACCGAAAAGTCACTAAATACAAATGTTTTTTATTGCTGAACTTTTATTTTGAAGCTCCGATTTCCACTACATACAGTATGACTGCATGTTAGTTCTGTTTCATAAAAAAAATGCTGTTACTGGCAGCAATAATTCATTTTAATTGGTTATTGGGAAAATCTGTAATATTTCTTCCACAATAATTACTGTTCTTTGTGGAACCATCAATTTTCTGAGACAAAACCAAGTGATGAATGTGCGGACTGGGAAGAAACTGAGAATTACAAACAGTGATCCTGTTAGAGATCCTCCCTGAAATTCTAGAACTCTGTGATAACTATTCTTTTTTTTATGAACAATTAGTAAATGCTATTTTCATCATTCAGACTTTTGTTAGGCTACTGTATGAATTTAAATTTGGGCTATGCCTTTAAAAGTTATAAATTGCTATTAAGTCACATTTGTTCGGGTTTGGGACTGGTATCATGAAACTGGTGGCGTGTTTTTATTAAGCACATCTGAGAAGCTCTCTGCCTTTCTGCCTGTCACTTTTGCCACACACTGATATCCGGAAAGCTCTCCATAAAACTGTCATGTACCTGCAAGACCCTTGATGATCCCAATGTATCCATCATCTTGCCTAATCTGCTTACGCTATAAAGAGGTCATCCTTTAAATGCTAAGTAAATGGCTTCTAAATATTTATCCGCTAATATTTCATATCTGGTTTTCCGTTTTTCTCCCTTTGTATGTGGGTGTGATTAACAGCAATGGAAAACCGTTTGTGGTGGTGTGAAATGAATTAACTTTGTGGCGGATCAGATGGCTCTGCATGTGCGTGAACTTCACAGCTTGACTGAAGATACGCTTCCTGTTTGTCTTCACCCAGGTCCCAGCTTACACCTGGTTCTGCAGTGGGCTTTGATATGGAGTGGCCACCCAGCTTTACTAAAGGACAGAAGCAGAAAGTTGCTCTCATCCAGCTGTGTGTTTCTGATCATAAATGCTATCTCTTTCATCTCTCCTCCATGCTAGGTTTGTTTCAATGGGAGTGTCAGTCAAATGCATCGATCGATGAAGTGCAACAAATGGGTTTCTTTATTTTTTTGTGCCCGGATTTCTGGTGCTGTTGACCTTTAACTTCCTGTTTTGCTCTTTCATTCATTAGTATTTGTTTTAGGACATCTATGGTTTTAAAAACCTTTTCACGTTACAGAAACTGGCAGAATTGCAGATAGCTGTTTTTTTTTAATGTATTGAAATTCAGATCTTGTGGTGCCATGAGATCATATAGTAGCTACCCTGCACATTTGTTGATGATATATTCTAAAATTCAGTGGCTCGTTTGGAGTAATGAGGATTGTAGACCCAAACACACAGGCACACTCTGCAAATACTAGGCTATGTTTATCCCTTTTGTAATTTTTCTCTAGGGTTTCCTGCTGGTCTGAAGATGTTACTAGAGGATGACACCATCAAAAAGGTTGGGGTGGGCATTGAAGGAGACATGTGGAGACTATTAAGTGATTTTGATATCAAATTAAAGAATTTCCTGGAACTGACAGACTTGGCAAATGAAAAAGTAAGTTTGAAATGGACGCTTATTGATCTTGCACCTTGCAAGTGTAGGACGTGAAATAAGTCCGAGTTAAATGCATAATACGCAGGATGAACCTGTTTTAACTTTCCTTGACCTTTTATCCCACCCATCTGATGACATAATTGACACACTTATCCAGAGTGACTAACTAGGTCATGTGACCAGGCTATAGTGGTGAAAATGTAATGGCTGAAAGCAGGATTTGCCCAGTTCTTCATCTGAGATGTTATGGTCTTACAAAACCCTTTATGTCTCTCTAGGATGCAAGTAAACCTCTAAGATTTGCCTATTCTTTGAGGTGAACAATTTGTATTATATAGTCATATTTCTTCACTTTTTTATGTTGTAATGTTTAGCTTTATGCACATCCTAGGAACTGCTTTGCAAATGTCGTTGTCCAAGAAAATGTGCAATGACAATAAAGTCATTCTATTCTATTCTATTCTATTCTAATAGGTGATGGTTTTGGTATAATTTTTGCTTTGGGCCAACATGAATGTGTCAGCTTTCTTCAAATAGACCATAAGTGAAACAAAAGGTGATTTAGTTCTGTACATGTATTTGTACAGAATTTGTTTTACTAGAATTATTTGTTTGACATACTAATTTAAACGTAGACGCCAGTGTCCTGTATAGTTGATGTTGAAAGGATTTTGAGAGCTTCTGCTGCCTGGTTTCTTCGCTCTCACTTGCTGGATGCTGAGGTGGTCCCTTGCTCAGATGAGATGGGGATGGAGCAGTGGAGAGTGATTTCTCCATGGCCATTACTGCTGTCTCCAGCTCAGGTGTGCGGAGAAGTGGAGCCTGGATGGGCTTGTGAAGCACCTGTTCAACCGGCAGCTGAAGAAGGACCGGGATGTCCGCTGCAGTTCATGGAACGACTTCGATCTCACGGAGGAGCAGAAGAGATATGCAGCTACGGACGCTTATGTGAGCATGACTGGGTTTGGGGGAGATGAGGGAGGGAAAAGCTGAACTACGTTGTGGAGAAGAATGCCTCTCCAGGTGCAATAATAGACATCGAATATATGCTCACTGAGACCTCTGCTTTCTTGTTCAGGCTGGACTGATAGTTTACAATAAACTGGAGACGATGAGTCCTGGTGAGTAACCATTAGTAGTGACATCATTGACCCTCTGGAGCTTCTATTTTACTCTAGTGAAGGTATTGCAGTATCACTATCAACGTTCTAAAAGTAGGAGTTTTTTTCCTACTTTTTTGTCTTAGGGATGTAGGTTAGTCATAGATCATTACTCAGTTCTTCCTTATTTGTCTGAAATCAAACTACTTATGTTTTTTTTTTGTATAGAAACTGTTTCACAGGTTTCAATCAAGGAGAAATTGCTCTGCTTGGCCTCTGAGATGGAGGAACTTGCACATCATGTTCCTGAGGACCCCAGTGTCATACCTAGGTGTGACATTCTAGCTATTTCCAGTTGCATCTACTCATGTCCTTCAGTTTACATGAGAACAATAGTTATAGTTAAGTAATAAGGGAACAGCGGTAAAGCTGATTCTTGTTGTTGTTGCAGTATTGCAGAGGTTGTAGAAGACATGGCTGTGAAGCTTGGAGCTTTAAGGGACTCCCTGCTGGGGTGTGACAGGACGCCGTGTACCTCAAAGAGCCAGCGCCATGTGGAGGAGCAAGACCACTCGCAAAAGGCGACGGCTGCGGGATGTGAACCGTCCATAATTGTGGATGGGAATCTCAACATTCCTCGTCAATCTGCTGGTTTGGAAGATGTCAGGGATTGTCAGCCTAAATGCGGAGAGGGCGTTATGTCCCTGGATATATCCGAATATGAGCTCCAGATGCTGGAGATGCAAGCCTGGCAGGAAGAGATGGAGGAACAGAGTACTTTGGAGTTCCAGGTGACAAAGTCTTCAGTCTGCTTACTTGCTGTACGAAGGGCATGGCTTATTTTGCTTTGTTTTAAAAATTCTTTTCCATGTATTTGTCTGTGTTTGCACATGCACATCATTCTATACGTCGCATTATGGCTCAAGCAGTGGTTTGGGGACTGTATTTTGGGGATCTTTGTTGCTCTTTTTGTTTTTTTGCTTTATTATTTTTAAGTGAAGGTGGTTTAGCCCTAACAATCCCCCTCCCCCCAGGACAAGGAAGCCTTGAATGATTCAGCAGATCTCTCCTGTTTGACTGAGGGTGATGAAGATCTGGATCAGGAAATGCTTCAGGTTACTTTTATTAGCGTGGTTTGCAAAAGGCATACATCCTAGTCTTCATAATGAAATTCTTTAATTTCAGTGTGTAAGTCTTAGAGCTTGTGGTTATTGTATTAGCACAGTGGTTCACGGTGCATGTTCTGCATATCCCTGTTTGCCCTGTTATGTTTCTGCTGCAGAAGCTGGAATGTTTTCCTCCGTACTGTTGGAGATCTGTCCCCCCCACCGGGGTGGACTGAAAGCCTTGTGCCGAGGCCCGGTGTGCAGTCATACGTCTGGGTGTTGTTCTCTGCAGTGTGCTGAAGATGCAGAGGAGTTGTTTTGCCAAGGGGACGGAGCGGAGTGCCGTGCCGACGAAGAACAGGGGTGTCCCAAACCTATGGAAGATGAGGATGAAGAGGAGGGCATACAAGAGGAGGAGGAGGAGGGCTTCGGTAGTTATGTTCTCATATTCCTATTTCAGCTGGATTATTCAGTGCAGATGAAGGTGGTGTTGAGCTCTGCTGAACATCAGGCTGGCAGCCAAAAGAAGTGCTTGAAATGCTCTCAGTAATTGCCTGACACAATTAGCGCTGCTTCATTTGGGCGACATGTGGAGATCCACTGGATCAGCATCTGATCCTCCAAATTACACATTAAACGCGCCTTGTGGAATCAAGGCTTTAAGTACAAGCTTTTGGTTTTGCGCTGCTTGCATTGCTTAATATGCCACACTCATTTTTGCAGTAATGTTAATCTCTGCATCTATATGTGATAGTTCTTATGAAATAGAGGTTGTCAAAGATGGACACTGGCTATAGCCCAGGGGTCGGGAACCTTTTTGGCTGAGAGCCATGAGCGCCACATATTTTAAAATGTAATTCTGTGAGAGCCATACAATATGTTTAAAACTAAAAACAAGTAAATGTGTGCATTTTATGTAGGACCAACACTTTTAAAGTACAATAAGTCTCTGAATTCTTTTTAATAACGTTGTTATGCTGTTGCTAACCCATGGTGAATAAAGTACTTCTTACCATTAATGCGACTTCTGGGGCTGCATGGTTTTACTGATGGCTTTGTAGTCTGGTTGATACGTGGTGAAGTTAAGCTTCAACAGTTCTTGCCGACAGAGGCATGTCTTTTATTCGTTTGATTATCTCAAAGTCGTCAAAAAGTTCATTGGCAACATCAAGCATGAATGTTTTGGCATACTCCCCCTCTGTGAATGACTTTCTGTTTCTCACAATTGCTAAAGCACCAGCAAAGCTAGTCGAATTCCAGTCACCTTGTTGGGTCCAAACACGGAGTTGCTGCTGACTAGTTTGCCCTCTGCACAGTAGCTCTTGACATGCTTTCTTCCTGCTGTCCCCGCAGGATATTTCGATGCAAATGTAGTATGGCGTGTCGAAGTGCCACTTTATGTTTGACCGTTTCATCGATGCAATTTTATCATTGCATATTAGACACTGCAGAACCTGCTCTCTCCACAAAGGCAAATTCCTCTGTCCATTCCTGCTGAAAAGTATGATACTCCTCATCTTTTTTTCTTACCTGCGTGAAGTTGCCCCCCATATGTGCCGGATTGTGCCGTTAAAATTTTTGTTTGTGCTGTTTTAGTTTCTGAGGTATAAATGTGTGTTTACATGGTGACGTCATCAGCGTGAAGTTGCCCCCCCCATTTGCGTCTGATTTCCACCAGACCGATCGCAATCGTATGTTCCGCATTTGTGCTGGTTTGTGCCGTTAAAACTATCCTTTGTGCTGCTTTAGTTTCTGAGATATTAATGTTTGTTTACATGGTCATGTGACACCAGCGTGATATTAATGTTGTTTAAAGCAGCACAAACCAGCACAAACGCGGAACATACGATTGGGATCGGTTTGGTGGAAATCAGACTCAAATAGGAGGCTAACTTCACGCCGATGACGTCACCATGTAAACACCACATTTATATCTCAGAAACTAAAACAGCACAAACAAAATTTTAACGGCACAAACGCGGCACATACGATTGAGACCAGTTTGGTTGAAATCTGAAACATATGGGGGGCCAACTTCACGCAGGTTTTTTACTTTTAGCCATCTTCTTCGATAAAAGGATTTCTGCAATTAGCTAGCTGACTACTTGATTAAAAGGATGGAAGTTTACTTCCTGACCTCACAACGACCCGTGTACGTTACGCATTATCCAATAAAAATTTGGTGTCGTCTCGGAGGACAGCTGTGATTGGCTCCAGCCGCCTGCAACCATGAACATGAGTGGTAGGAAATGAATGGATTGAAATACATGAGAATGTTTTATATTTTTAACGTTATTATTTTTTTTATTAAAGATTTGTCTGCGAGCCAGATACAGCCATCAAAAGAGTCACATCTGGCTCGGGAGCCATATGTTCCCGACCCCTGCTATAGCCAGTAAAAAAAGTATTTTTTAATGCGAAGTGTCCCCAGGCCCAGTAAATCAATAGTACTGGGGAGCTCAGTGTATAGCTCAGAGCAGCGGGTAATAGCAGTTTGAGTTTAATCTTTAGAGAGAATTTCTCATAATGTTGGGACTTTTTCACGTTTCACTTCAGCCCAGTGATTTTTATACCCCCTTCTAGATCCTTCCATACCAGGACCAAACTCAGAACAAATTAAGTGCTTGAAAAAGTATTTTGGCCATTCCAGTTTCAAACCGTGAGTAATATCACTATTATTGTCTTCTTTTTAAATAATCATATCTATTATATATGCATAATTACATATTTTCTGGATATTTTTAAAGTGTGGTTTGTGGTCTTCTCCTAGATTTACTCCTTCACCCGTTGTGTCAGAAGGGATTGTTTTTACATGACAATTGGTGTCACACAGACGTGAAATCTGATAATGTTTAGCTAAATTTCAGAAACCATTTTGACATCACTTCCTGTTTCACCATATAGTCCATATGAATCTTACAAAAGAATGTGTTGCAGTGCATTGATCATAATTGTTACCACAACTTTTATTGAACATAGTAAAAGTAAAATAATAGGACGTTAAGAACACCTTATATACTTAATGTTCATTTTATTAAGTATACTTCTTGGGACTAAATTGGCCCATGTTTAGTTTATTAAAGTATATATATTAAGTGTATTTATTTAGTAATATTAGTTATTTGTATTTTTATACCTGAAATTGCTACAAACAGCACAGTAGCATTATGACAACATGTAGATTACTCTTAGTCATTCAAAATGAACAAATATTGTTTTGAGTGCCAAAATTAAGGATAAAATACATTTTACATATAAGCTAGACTTTTCTCAATACATGTCAGTTTAAGCCAGGTATACTTAAGTCAGACTTTTAGTATATCTCTGTTAAGTACATAAGTTTACTGAGAGTATACTCACTCATGTTTAGTTTAGAAAAATTATACTTATAGTATACTTAAATATACTTCTTTTTCGTAAGGGCATAGCTAGCTGCTTATTCTTCCAGCTGAGATGTGTCCAATAGGACCGTGTGGCCTAAGTCTGAAATGCAGAGCTTTTTTAATAGAATGCAAAATGTAATATTTTATTTGTCTTATCTAGCTGCCCTATAATATTGAATTACGGTAATCATGCAATGCTTTTCAATAGGGACAAGGCCTGGCAACTGAATTTTCATTAAAATTGTCTGTTTTGCTTCCATTCAGACATTATCTTGCATTGAGATTGTTTGTTTGTTTTTTATTGCTTTTTAAATCTGGTTGTATTTGGGTGTTGTGCTGTGAGATTAGCTGCTGTAGTTCCTCAGCATTCCTTTGCAGGGACGTCCCCATGCAGCTTTCTGTGGCCTGGGATATGGGCTTTATGCCCCCCTACCCTCCTGCTGGACACACACACACACATTTTTTTAATGAGTGATGCATGCAGTCTGTTGCAGATGAAAATGACTCCTGCATGTTTTTTTCCCACCAGTGTATCACTATTAACACCTGTTTCGATAGCCACCTTGGTCACTTTGCATAGGATTTTCGCACAAATTAGTAATATAATGCAAATAAATTGCAGAGCAATATTATCTCATTGCAGGCACACTTGACACTTGGAGATCAGTAATTCATTCTAAAGTCCAAGTAAATGCTTGGGGATACAATTTGCATTTCAACCGAGAGATTATTTTTCCCCTGGTCTTAAAAATGGTTTGTTCTCTTGTCAGTGTACAATGGAAAGCAATTTACTCCATTCTGAATGAAAGGAGAGATAATCTTGTCGTCATGGCAACAGGTGAGTTCCTCTCATGCTTAATGATGATTGACAAACTCCTTATGACGATTACCCACCAGAGTGTGAAGGGGGGAAATCGAGGGACGTTTCCTGTTTAGCAGAAGAACGGCCCATTTGTTTAAGAATTGATAAATGGAGGATTCTTATTTGTTTGCTAGGGCAGATTACCATGCCATATTTACTTCACTAGAAGTGTGGCTTTTACTGAGAGTTCTGGGGTTTGAAACGCTGAAAACACCCAGGCCGTCGGTCCTGTTAGCATTTGCCGCAGCCTGTGTTCGCCCTGTGCCTGTGTGGGTTTCCTCCCTGTACTCCAGTGTCCTCCCACAGTCCACAGCCTTGAAGGTGGTGTCTAAAAATAGTGTGTGGAATCGAGCGCGCCCCCGTGACGGACATTGCCGTGATTCGCAGGCTCTTTCTTCACCGTGGATCATTGATCCTGGAAAGGAATCGATGGATAGAAGGACCTAAAAAGCCTTATGTAATCAAACGTTGCCTGAAACTTTGATCTGTTGTCCTGTGTGTGTTTCCCTCGAGGTCTGTCTTCCTTTAATGCATTCCTTAAAAAATAAAAACCACTTGTGTGCAGTAGTGGCGTAGTCTGTACAAATAGTACTTTTGATGGAGTCGCGCCTTACTTAAAGACAAATACCCTGAAGCACATCATGATCACATTCTAAGCCTGCGAGATACTGAGCGCGTTTTGGTTTATTCTGAAATATTTATGGCAAGCAATCATAAAAATAAATTTAAATAAATTTAAATCATTTGATGAACTGAAATGCATTTATGTAATTGGTAGTTTTGGAAACAGTTCAGATTGTTCTTGTACTTAATACTTTCCTGCCATATATTTGCATGTATTCATGTATTCAATTTATTCAGGATTCATCATCTCCTCATTACTGGGACACATTAGTGGAGGTAGATGATGCAGTTTTGGGATGGCTTCAGCCAGCGTGGCTCCAGTTCCGCCTGGCTCTACCCAGAGAATTAAATTGTCTTAACTGTGTATTTTAGCTGCAGGTTTATGATAACATACACTACCAGTCAAAAGTTTTTGCACACCACATGTTTTTACCACTTTTCCATGTATTTCATAAACTGCAGAGTTTAAGCATGGAAGGTTGAGTGAACAAAAGAAAACATAAGTCAAATAAAATGTTGGAAAGAGATGCATGTCCGACATCCTATTAACTGGTTGTGTGGTGATGGCATCATATTCTAGGCTGTCCTTTAACTTTAAATGCACTAGTTAACTTTCATCCCATGAAGCACAGCAATATTTAATGTCTCATAGAAAGAATGCCTTGGATTTTCTCTGCTCTTATAACTGCTAGAGGAGGTCACTTTGATGAATCAAATTACATTTTCTTGCTAATAAAGGTACTCAAATGTTAAACATACTGTAGATTTATTTGTTAGCAAGAATATTGAGTGTATTTTTAGTAAATGTAAAGTAACATGCAGTTACACTAACATGTCAGTGTGTGCAAAAACTTTTGACTGGTAGCGTACAACGTATATTTTATTTGAGGGGACACTGGCCACAGAATGAGTTCCGGTTTCCTTAAATCAATTTGATGTCAGATATTTCAGATGATGCTGATGAATTTGAGGAATTAGCACCTGAGTCATATTTTTTGCTGGTAAAATAAATTATGGGTATAGAAGGGAAAATTAACATGACATTCTGGGCTTAATAAATAGATCCAGGTGGCTTGACGTTCAGTTTTGTGCGTGATAGTAATTAATTGCGTTTACCATGTCATTTTCACTCCTGAAGGTTATGGGAAGAGTTTGTGTTTCCAGTTCCCCCCGGTGTACTGCGGGGGGGTCAGTGTCGTCATCTCCCCCCTGATTGCTCTTATGGAGGACCAGGTGCTCCAGCTCACGTAGGTAACCCCTGTCTGCCACAGCCCCGCATTTGAAGCACCGCGGCCAAAATTTTGCTTTCTGGGGTCTTGTGAGGGAGTAGAGCGGTATGGAGTGTGGCATATGGTCTTCGGGATGCGCCCCGCTTCTGTCCTGAGGGGTGAATCGGCTGGGATTTGTACGCTGCCAGCGTTGAACACGCAGTGTGATGAAATCGCGAGCAGCTCAGCCAAAATCTCCAGTGGCCCCAGATGGTTGGGACAAAAAAAAATGATTGGCTCCCTGTGGATAGCGTGCGCGTCTGTTGGCCGCGGATACTGAGCCGTGAGCCCAGATTCGTTTTTAAGAATGATTTGCTCCATTTATGAAGGAGGTTTCTACGGCATACATTAGCTGACGTATTGCGCTGATAGCAGACGTGGGGTTTGGTTGCAAAACCTGCTGATGATGGTCCTTTCAGATTAGATGTAGAACCCTTTATCGATGTCAGCTGAGGCATGGTAGTAATCTGTACATCTGGAAGACCATCACTGAGTGAAAACTGGCCCCTTAACCCAGCAATCTAGGCTGTCAGTTCTTCACAGGAAACGGATCCCGATGATGTGTGTCTCTGACGCACTTTGCCCCCTTTATTGCAGGATGTCCAACATTCCGGCTTGCTTTCTTGGATCAGCTCAGACCAATAACGTTATGGCTGGCGTGAAGAAGTAAGTCTGACTTCTTGACCCCTGCTTCAGCATTGCTGGGATGCTTAAAAAGAATCGATTTTATACTGTTTCAGTGGAAGCACTATGTAAGCTTTTATCCATTTAAGGTGATGCGAGGCTCTGTATAGCTCTATAGCTTGTTATCAGAACAGCGTATAGGCCAGGCTTACGGGGATCGCGGTAGCTGCGGTAAGTACTGAGTGAGTGTTCTGATCCACAGAGGCTGTTACAGAATCGTGTACATGACCCCGGAGTTCTGCTCAGGAAACACGTGGCTGCTGGAGCAGCTTGACAGCGGCGTCGGTGAGTCAGAGACACCGTTTCTCTGGTCGTGTGATTGACATGGCAGGAAATAGCGACTGAAATGAATGACTGGTGTGTCCTCCAGGGATTTCGGTAATCGCGATCGATGAGGCCCACTGTATTTCCGAGTGGGGCCACGACTTCAGAGGTGCGTACAGGAACCTCGGAAACCTGAAGAAGATTCTCGCCGGCGTGAGTCACCTGCAGCTGTGATGAAAATGAGTCTGTCACAGAATGTGTTTTGAGCTCCTACTAGGAGGACTTGCTGTTGTACTCAGATCAAGTTCTGAAGCTATGCTTCAGAGAGAGGCTGAAAGTAAACTGTTCAATGTAGCTGCTGCTCGTAATTTTTACTTAATACAGGATCTCATCCTTATCCCTCTGTTGGCGCACCAAGGTTCCTATCATGGCTTTGACTGCCACAGCGAGTCCCTCTGTACGCGATGACATCATGAAGTGTCTGAAGTTGGTTGATCCCGTAGTCACCTGCACCTCTTTTGATCGGCCCAACATTTTTCTGGGTGTGCGCCGCAAGTCTGGGGAAATTTTGCAGGACCTGAAGCAGTTTCTGATCAAGAAGAATGGCCTCGGGTCAGTTCCCATAGCGACTGAAATTCTGGGTAGTTCTTTTCTTAGAGGAAGGAATGCAGATAGACACAACCCACATCTGTGTACCTGCATAGACTAATTGTACACAATTATAAATATCTTCTTAGATGACGTGTCGTCGTACTGTGCTGTCTTTGGCTCATTGCACATATTGTCTGTTTTAGCACGTACTGTTGAGAACACACTTATGCCGAGGTCTTATGGTTTAATAGCTACACACGTGCACCTGTTTATGGCCTCTGGATTTTCGTAATGATCTGCAATCTCGATGCCTTCAGCGGCGATTATGAATTCGATGGCTCTGCCATCGTGTACTGCCCATCGAGGAAGGAGGCGGAGCGTGTGTCGTCCGAGCTCTACAAGTTGGGCGTGCTGTGTGGGGTTTACCACGCGGGCATGGGCATCACGCAGCGGCGGGAGACGCAGCACCGCTTCATGAGAGACGAGATCCAGGTGGCCATGTCACGCTTTCAAGATGCACAAGCTGACGGGAGACGTTTGGCCGCGTCTTGCGTTAGGGCGTTAACACGTGCAGCGTCTTTGTCGATTTCAGTGCATCGTCGCCACTGTTGCTTTTGGGATGGGAATAAACAAGGCCGATATCCGCAAGGTCATCCACTATGGGGCCCCAAAAGAGATGGAGTCGTACTACCAGGAGATCGGCCGCGCGGGAAGAGACGGGCTGCCCAGCTCCTGCCACGTGCTGTGGGCGCCGGGGGACATGGTGTTGAACAAGTGAGCTGCACTGTCAGAAAAAAGGGTACCAATTTGTACCTTTGCTTGTCATTGGGGCTGTACCTTCAAGGGTCTGCCAATTGTATCCTTACCTGTAGCTAACTGTATGTTTTAAGGTACAGAAATGGACTCTGAGGAACATATTTGTACCACTTGGGGTGCATCCTTAGGGATGTTCCTGAGTCCATCTTTGTACCATAAATTACACTAAAAGGTACATTTACCAACAGCTAGGTTACAATTGACAGATCCTTGAGGGTACAGCCCCAGTGACAAGCAAAGGTAGAAGTTGGTACCCTTTTGGTTTCTCAGCAGTATCAGTGTGGGATTCTGGGTAGTTAAACTATTTCTAATTATGCAAAGCCATCGTGTCTAATAGTTTTC